CTATCATTAAAGAGGTTTTTAATCCCTCTTATGTGTGTTATGCTTATTTGAGATAAGTGTTCTTTCTTAAAAATCAAAATTGGTCACTTGGATGAATTCAACTGGTTGAGCAATGTTCAACTATATCAGTATTGCTTTATACAATCTTGTCAAAATAGACAATACAATATTTGTCTGAAAAGATGTGTATGACCTCATACAAAGTCACACTGAATAGATATTAAACCATTTCTTCAGATTCTAATGTTTTTTAAAACATTCCAAAGTTACTTTTATCTTGGATCAACATATGGATAATCAGTTCACAGCTCTTTGGGTCATCCCTTTGAATTTTTTCAATAGTGAATCCTGGTGGGCAGCATTCCAGCCTTCTGCAACTCCCCCAGCTTACAAGAATTGGCTAAAAATTAACATTAATGAATAAAAGAACTTCTTGCTTTGGCTATTATCTTTGGACATACCTTATCTAGATCTGCTGTTTTTTAAATATTAGCGAGCACTGTCTCATGCTCCTTTGTTATAAATTATATACAAAACCAGATATGGCACAAATACCTCCTGTCACATCATAAAAACAGCAAGCTGGTTTTTTTGATGTTTTTTTCTGTTTGTTTTGTTTTGTTTTCTGGTGGGTCCTCCCCCACCCCGAAACACACAACTATTTCCTAATTTTATATTGGACCTACACCTAGATCTTTTCTCTTTGCATGTAAAAAATTGCCACCTTCTCTGAACCTACATCACCGATATCTCCGTGATTAGCACACTGCCTTTCTCACCTGCTTCTTTGCTTAAGTTTGCAATTATATTCGCTGCCATTTACTTCCTCCTCCTCTTTATCCTCCCTGCCTAATGTGCAGAATGCTTTGTGTTTCACTAACACAGTTTCAGTGACTGGGGAATCATGCCTTTTTGGCCATCAGTATGATTTTGTTGAATACTTTATATCTTTCATTAACACCTCCCTTTTAAAGGTACCTTCCTGGGCAGTTATCCTGCCAATTGTTTAAACTCAAAGAAACAGACTCTTCTAAAGCTCCTTACATTACTGCCTGATGCCATATTCTGTTTGCACAAAGTAAATACAGACAAATAACAATCACTGGTACCTAGGCAACCGTGGGATTTCAGGTCAGCTATTAACTCTTCTTTATCTGCTAGAACAAGGTCAACTATTGATTTATTCCACAGTGGGTGCAGTACTGTGTGCATTAAAAATGACCTATTCCTTCTAGAAGCTTTCTGGAAGTCTTTTTATTGGCATCATGAAATGTCAAGTAAATATTACCTGTTTTAAGCAGACTATTTTATTTGCCTCCCTATGAGAAGCATATACATAAGGCAATGTTTGTTCCATTCCTGAGGATATCTCAGGGACCTGTTAGAAACATGTAATAGGTGAGACATGGTTTGAAACCCAAATAACTTGAATTTGTCAGGAAATCCTTATGTCTGCAGCTCTCACGAATGGTGAAGGTTTAGAAAGTGTTATGTAATTTCCATTTAATCACACATGGGACAACACGTCTGAAGTCCACCTCTACTCAAGTCTGGACGAAAGCATTAGCTAATGTTCTGCGCCCCAGGACCAGGCTGACCTCTCGCATGCTGTTCCATCCTCAGGGGACTTCCTTTACTCCCTCCCTACCATCACATTTATTTCTTCATCCACTGCTTTGCTGTCTAACCAATTCCTCTCTTTGTACAGTAGCTTGGGAAAATCACTCCAGGCAAGGATTTTGAGTCTCTCGGATATGACGTTGAGGAGATGTGACCTGACACACGGAAGGGAGAGGGAGAAGATGGGGGTTACAAGCCACAGCTGAAGACTCAGACAACCATGAGTCCCCTGTAGAAGAAAGGGTAGGTTTCAGTGAGTCACCCAAGGGAAAGCATCCTGATCCTGAAAAAGAAATAGGAGCGAGGAGGATTCAGAGAGAAATGCTCTCCTGCTTGAGGCTCTGAGCATGCCGAGAGAAGCAACAGTGAGAGAAAAAGGGCCAGGTAAACTAACAAAAGGTATTACATGGAATATACCACTTACCCCAGTTAAAATCACATCACTGCACTGGAACTCAAGATGATGTTTAGAGAAAAAATAAGCCAACAACAAACAACTCGGGGAACAATAGAAACCAACTCATATAGTGTTATTTCCCCACCCCTTCTATGTACAACCATTTGGGCACCATTTGGGCCAAAAAAAATGATGGGAAACCTTAATGAAAGCAGTTAGGCTGCATTTTTTACAAGTCACTTCTCAGGACAGCAGGTTCATTCACATTGCCTGCGTGTCCTCACCTGCAAAGCAGAGGTAAGAGTCACCAGGACAGGGATGTTCTTGTCATTTCTATTTCATCCACATCCCCCACACCAGGAGCACAGGGAGGAACAGCATGAAGGTGAACGAGCGTGAAAGGGGCCAGTCCTCAAGTCAAGCACTGGTCTGAAGGGAAGGGGCAGCAGCAACGTGGAACAGTTTATGTAAGCAATGCAGCTCCCAGGAGAGGAGAGCAGCAGTAGCACAGAGCAGGACGTGCTAAATACAGATTGTAGCAGGTGGTCCAAGAACTGGCTGTGATTTCAGCAACCGGTTTCTCCAAACCGGACGGAACTGCCTACCGCACAGCCCTGCAACAGCAAAAAGCAAGCTAAAAAACACAAAAGCAGAGCAGGAGACTGAGAAGATTCAGCAATCACAGATTGCCAGGAGATGAGTTTCACCCTGACAACATTCCCACAGATGTCAAGAGCGTGACAATCTAATGAACAGCACGGAAGCAAACCCAGGCATCTTGCAAAAGAATTATAGACCCGTAATTTTGGCTGGGACCTACCTCCAGAGGTCATTTAGTGTAGCCCCTGCTCAAAGCAGGTCTAATGAGATCTGGTTGGCCAGGCTGTGTCCAGTCAAGTCAAATACCTCCAAGGATGGAGGTTCCACAGCCTCTCTGGACAACATGTTCTTCTATTTAACCACCCTCACAGTGAAAAAGACACACACACACACAAAAAAAAAAACCAAACAAAAAACCCAACAAAACTTTCCTGATATCTAATTGAAATTTCCCATGTTCCAACTTGTGTTTGTTGTCTCTCACTTCATCGTTTACACACAACCAAAAAGAATCTGGCTACATCTTTTCTGTATCCTCTGATCAGGTAGTTGCAGACAACGAAAATATCCCCCCTCTGCCTTCTCTTCTTAAAGCTGAACAGGTCTCAGATTCTGCTCACATGCTGTGTTCTCCAGCTCCCCAGCCATCTTACTGGAGCCCACTGGGCTTGCTCCACTTATATGAAGTGCACTTCTTGCCCTGGAGAGCCCAAACTGGACACAATATTCCAGATGCAGTCCGGCAACTGCTGAAGACAGGGGGAGGATCACATCCCTGGGCCTGCTGGCTACTCACTGACACAGCCCAGGGTGTGGTCGGCCACTTTTGCCGCAAGGGCACGCTGCTGCTTACGTTCAATTTGTTTTCCATTGGGACCCCCACATGTTTCACTGCAGAGCATCTTTCTAGACAACCAGCCCCCAGCCAGTATTGCTGCAGGGGTTATTCCCTCCCAGATGGAAGGCTTGAAACTCACTCTTGTTGAGTATCTTAAGATTCCTGTCAGCCCATTTCTCCAGCCTGGTCAAGTCTCTCTGAATAGGAGCCTTGCCCTCCTGCATTTTGACCACTGCTCTCCGTTTGGTCTCATCCACAGAATAGCTCCTTACGGACACAAAAAGCTTCAAGAACAAGGAGAAAAGATCTCTCACAATATATAGCAATTGGGACTCTTGCTGGAGACCATCCGTGAAATTTTTAACAATTCTACACAGTTTGTTCACTTTGTACTGCCCAAGCTATGAACGGATAAGCCCAATTCTTCTCTCATTTATAGCAGCCTAAGCTTGAAGTCCATGAATTTGACACATTTACAATACTGTAACACTGCTCTCTGTGTGAGAGTGTGTGTGTATGTGCATGCATACACACCCACACAGATGGCTCAAGACATGCAACAACTGAAACAAGAACACTGCAGAATTTGGAGGAGCAGCTGGCTATGCAGTTAGGACCAAGGTATACACTCAAAGCCTAAGGTGGCAACAGGAACTTTAACTTTGGTCTTTCCTGACTTGAGTCCTCTGCACTGCACCTTAACAGGCAGCAACTGTTAGCTTTATAAATAATAAGAAATATTTCTGAAGACCTTGAAACACGCCATCAACCAAGGATGCTACCATCACATCAACAAGTCAAATATCCATGATGATGATGATGATATACAGATAACTTCACCTGAAGGTTAGGTCATGAAGCATCTAGCTCATTTATCTCTGTGTTCACATGGAATGAGTCACCACCTATACTCCTGTGAACAAACTCTTCCTCAAAGAGCTTATAAATTGAGAATGATGAATAGCATACAAAGATTAAGGAAGACAAACTATTTGCTCAAAAGAAAAAGAATGTGTATCATACACAATGTAAAATACCGTTGGACTTGCACTAGCTTTTCCACATGCGATTGCTAGTTGGCCAATTCCTTGCAGCAATTTTTCATCATAGAAGTGGATCATGAGGAAAGACATAAATATTTCAACAAGTTTCTAAGCAACTGAAAAACAGTGCTTTCCAAGGGATATATTAAGTCAATATTTAATCCTAGTCTTTACTGGGAAATAAGGTGAAGTTTTGTCTTGTTTGGTTTTGGTTTTTTTTTTTTTGTGGGTTGGTTTTGTTTGTTTTTTTGTTTTTTTTTTTTTACAAACCAATTGTTAGGTTACACTGAACATCTTGATATGAACACCACAGTTATAGTTTTCATGCGTATTTACCAGCTGAGGTAAATGCTACCAATTGTCCCAGTCCTGCAAATATTTTACAGTGTGCTGACTAAATTGAGGGGGAAGGGCTTTTCATTCACATGAATACACCAGCACCACGTGTCCCACCTGTGGGGAAGGAGAACCTGCCATGCCTTAAAAGGCGCTAGTAACTTACCCCGAACATCTGCCGAAGGTCAGGATCTCGAAAGCGGAAGGGAATGTTAGACACATGAAGCCGTTTTGGAGTGGATTTGCTCTCGGTATTCTCACTGCTCTGCGTCTGTGATTGCTGTCCATCTGTCTGTGCCCCTCCTTCTGTCTGCTGAAATCAGAAAGACAAAAGCATGTGCGTGAATAGAAACCACACAAATTCCTTTCACGTGCTTTGTCTAGCTCTTTTTAGGTATTAGTACGACACTTGCAATTGCAGTATCTAGCACTTGACAATTATTTTGATAAAGCCAGTAACGCTTTGCAATTGATCTGTTGTTCTTCCCCTCCCTTTCCGTGAGGAAACAGTAATGAGATCTCAGCCTCCCTCCCCTCACATCACCTTTTAGCTTAGTAGATTTGCCTTTGGTTTTCTTAAATTGCTTCTCTCTTTTTCGCCTGTTCTTCCTCACTTCAGCTGCCACCATATGAAAGCTCTAATGAAGAGGCGGATCTTTCATATCCTGAAGCTGGGAGGTAGTACCGCCACTCTAATCTCATGTGGCAGGATGTTCATGCAATCATCAAAATCCCACAGCTGAAGTGGCAGCTCTTCACTGGGCCAATACCAGAAATGCATCCCCAGGCAAAACGGCATCTGCTCTGTCAAGCTCCCTTCAGAGAAACATTACCCCAAAAGGAGATCTATAATTAAATGGTAAAATCCATATATGAACAGCTTACGGATGTCTTTGATTAACTTTTCTCATACATTTAAAAGTCAGCCCAGGGACAGGAAACAGTTATTGCCACTGCAGGATTTATAAAAACTCAAAGTACTACTTTCTGCTACCAGTTCCATAGCTAAAACAAGGGAATTTGTTCCAGCATTCCCAAGCACTGACTGGTACAGCAAAGCCAGGTCAAGGGGTGGGCCAGGGGTACCTGTGCACAGAAAAAGTACAGCAAGGCGGCAGAGGAACAAGGGAGACCAGTGTGCCAGAGGAGAGACCTAACGCCCCCAGAGAGATGACTGGCAGGGGAGAAGAAAGGAAGAAGAATCTCAGCCACTTGTGTTAAGCTTAGACTAAGAAGTGGTAAAATTTGAGCACAGCACTCCATATAAAGGCAAAGGCCCCTTTGCAAAATGGTTTGATGAGAAAATGGTATTTTTCGCACTTTAGTCAGAAAAATGACCTCAAAAACTCAGAGCTACAGAACAAAGTAAACTACAATTTGGTCAGTTTTATTGCTCTGTCCCTTTCCAAGAGCATGCATTGACAGGCCAAGGTATTCAAAGAGCAGCCACCCACTCACTCTGTCTCCTACTGCTTGCCTCAGCCTCCTAGGAATCATGCTTTGACCACCTGTGTGATGTACTTTTAAGCGTCATTTCGTTTCTTTAGATGCCAACCTGACTTCTACCTTAACCCATCAAGTGAAAAGAAGTTCTAAGAGAAGGCAAGGACCGTGTAATTGCTAGAGTCAGCCTTTTTTAGGCACCTTCAAGAACACACACAGGCCTTAGAAATAAAGATTTAAGGGGGGGGTGTGCTGTTTTGGAGCCTCCCCCCCACATTTTAAATACATAATTTATGTATCAAAGAGGAAAGAAATCTCAGGGGAATTGCCCACACTGACTCCCCAACCACTGACTGGACTTGCTAGACTGCTTTGCACGTCATTCAATATACAACGCTTCACGAGTATTTGGAAAGAAACATCTCTCCACAGATAAACTAAACTGGCAACATTAAGAGAGCTTCTTCTGGCCAGAAACGTCTCTTACAGACATGACCCTGAACTTGTATATTGGTTATAAAGCACTGACAAGAGCAAGGAAGCAGAAAGCACTGGGGTCTTGTTGCGCTGAGCAAAGCAGTGGCAGCTTTCCATTTTATTTTAGTAGGGCTGCGCAGGCAGCACAAAACATGTTTGATCTGGTTAATATAAATTAAGCTGTGACAGGAAGAATGAAGATACCGCCCTGTGAGTATTTCTACTTCCCAGAGCCGTGCAAGTCTCAGGACAAGCCTAGCAGGATGAAGCATTTTATTTGGCTAAGACTCATCCATCCCCCAAACATCCAATTTTCGAGAACAACCTCAGAAACTTCCATTTGATCGTATCTAAAAAGCTGCCTCTCCCTCTCCAAGTTCCCCCTCTTCTCCTACCCTCACCCCTATGACAAAATGCATCTCCAAACATAAAGAGAGTGCACCCTCGACGCAGCTGGCTTGCTATTAAATCACACCATGCTATTTGGTGGTTTTATTTTTATGACTCCATCAGAGTCCTTTGCTCCTCAGGGCAAATCTGTCCAAGAAGGACAAAACATAGGAGTAGCCTATCCATCACCACCATATACAACACCTGCAAGCAAGTGCTCCAAAATAACTCCCCAAAACCATCAACACTCCTGCTAAAAGGGATCTCTGCAATCCATTTTGGAGCCCTGCTAGTGCAATTTGCCAAATCCCATGTTTTCTATGGCTTTGCATGGAATTGGCAAGTGGGCGAATACCCATGCACACAGGTGCATCCTCAAACATACACACTAGTGCATCTTCTGCAGTGTGAATGAGGAAAGGCACAGATTCTGACTGGTGATGACAAAAATGTTTTAAATTCAAATGCAGGGTGCGCAGGACTGGATCTGCCGCTTCCACAGAGGAGGAGGCTGGGAGGTCATCTGCACTCCTCTCCCATCCATTTGTTCACAGGCAGAGGGCAGAAGTCCTTTCTTACCAAGGGTGCGATGTATCATGTACAGTGGCCTGCTCAAAAACACTCACAGCTGTTCCTGCATATGGCAGAGTGCTGCTGCCACATAGGAGTCATTTTGCAGCATGTGAGATGTGTACAGTAAGACAAAGGCTTCAAAGAGCAGAAACAATAGAAGGAACAGGGGATCTCAGTCCACTCTAACCTTTTTGACTACACTAAGAGTCCCCAAATGCTTTTCAGGCTTTCACATATCCTGATTTTTCAGCAGTAGTTTAACATTAAATACCTTCTCTCTCTGGATGCTGTAGCTCCCTCATTTCTATCGTCCATGGCCCTAAGGTAAGATTTGAACTTTCAGCCACTGTAACATTAGCTCAATACATTTGTTTACTGCCACACATTCAGCTACAACATAAATGAAAGAAATAGTCTCCTCAGATCTTGCCTTTTTTTTTTTTTTCCCCTTCCCCTTTTATAGTTATTCCTTGTCTTAATTCATTAGGAAGGAGATGAAAGGAAGGGCCTGGAGCCTGTTCTCAGGCAGCACATAATGGAGACTGGCAACAGCGCTACCCTGACCAAGTCAGATGATAAAAGCCCGCATTTCACCGAGTGCCCACTCCCCACCCTCACTCCTTCCCCACACCGAGTTTCAGCTCCTTCCTTCTGGCCTCATGTCAACACTTCACAGCAAAGAACCTGCCCTCTCCCTTCGTTACAGAGATTCAGCTCGGAAGGGAGCTAATACATGTTCCCTAGGTCTCAACGCCTGTCATCAGCCAACACAGAGACATGCTGCAGCAAGGACCCTGCGTTTAGAAACAGTACTGGATCCACCTTACCTCCTCAGCATAGTCTGTGTAACACGTGCAGGTGATAATGTCATGTGTGATACAAGCTTTGAGCTCTGCTCAAGGTCACCGAGAAATGCATCAGAGCTCAGGACACGCACAATACGTGCTTCACTTTTAACTGCTTGCTGCCTGTGCCCCCGTGCCAGCTCCTCCCTTAAACCTGCCAGCAGTAAGGAAACCCTAAGCAAGAAGAGGCAGCTGCCAAGAGAAGCATGGATGTATACAGGTGCACATATGCATGTAAAAGGGAAGAAGGGCACCTGGCAACACGAGGGTGTTCTAAAAGGTTTGAGGGCAGCTCTACAATCATCTTCCCACCTCTCGACTAGACTCTTCTGTCGTAAAGCAGCTGGTGAACAAGCAATTGCCGAGGATTTCTCCATGGTGGGAGGGAGGCAGGGGCTCCAGCGCCACCTGAGCTCCGAGCAGATCTCCATCTGCATGGCCAGATAGAGGGCTACCTCCCTGATGAGCCAGACAAATACCAGTGTGACAGGCCAGCACAGAGACTATTAATACCCAGCACATTCTGTTTCCATCTCCCACTTGCTTCTAGAACTGGAATCGCTTCAGGTCCAAGTTATAGAAAAGCAAAAAACAACCCCCCATCCTCTCCCCCAGGAAGCAGGCGGTCCAAAATGTTGTGAATCAATGAGGAGGTTAAGAGCCATAAATCCCTGCAAAGAAAATATTTACAAAATACAAACTGCAACTAATAACTATTTAAAAGGGGACTTGGGTGGCTTACAAACTCTGGGAGACAGACTGTGCTCACTGCTTCTAGACCAGTCTCAGATCCAAAAAAAAAAAAAAAAAAAAAAAAAAAAAACCTTTTGGGACAAAGAGTTGCTGCAGCTTGTTGCTGATCTTCCTGATTAAAAAAATACTCCTAGGTTCTCTGCAGTGGTGTACGTGAATGCCAAATCTGACTGTAACAGTAGTTAGATACACACGTGCACACACACGTTTTCCTAGTGTTGTGTAAGGAGACTACTTAAAAGATTATTCTGACGTTAATGTAATCTGTATAATGTGTCCAAAAATTAAAAACTATTCCCTTTGGCAGCATTCAAAGTACAGACCCCGCAATGAATATATTGCGCACATAGGTATTCACCTATATGGATTGCACATCTCTTTCCAAAACAAAAAAAAAAAAAAAAAAAAAAAAAAAAAAAAAAGACCTTGTTTGGATCAAGAGCTTGAGGAACTGTATGGAGACAAGGACTGAAAGCTATGACTGGCAGAAGGCAATCTTCCCACCACAAAGTAGAGTGCAGACAACGTGGGAAGATCTCTGCAACTTCTAGTGAAGAAGCCACGTCAAAACAACCAGTCACCCACCAATGAACAGATATCCACTGAGCAGGTTTGGTGGAAAAACAAGTGAAGAATTAGGCATTAGACGCAAAACCCCTCTCTGCACCACCACACGCTACCAGAGTAGGACTGAGGTCCTACGTATCCAAGAGCAAAGGGCATGGGAACTTCTGCTGCTTAAATGACACTTGCTTAGGAGACAGAAGACTTCAGGGATAATAATCACCTTTCAGCAGCAATAAATACAGTTTTAGAATTATAACCATGTACT